AAGCAAGAAGCACCACAGTGAAGATCGATGTAAAGCCGAGTGGACTTACCGGGCTAGCCTGAAGCACCGACAGCTGGCAAATCAACGCAATGCTAAGCCATGCTAAGACCAAGCTGGGGGCACTTGCTTTGCTGGCGGCTTTCCGCAGCCGGGAAGAGATGAAGCTTGCGCTGTAATGCATTTCTAGTTGCAGGACTGTACCAGCAAAGCTGTGATTAAGCGGGACGTATGAGGACCTAGAGCGCAACACGCAACTCCTGGCTGCATTTTTCCGGGCTTGCTCGGCGGCCTTTTGCGCTCGCTGGCCTTGACTAAAGTCAACCCATGAGCGCGGAAGATGCCGCGAAAAAGCGCCCGACCAAAAAGGCATTTGTCTTGCAGGATCCGCGGTCCGGGCGTCTTTGAAATCATTTTGCTTCTGAAGGAGGACGCTCCGCTGGCTTGTTCCATGTGGCGCCCGGACCCGAAGAGGGCGATTTGGCCACTGCTACAGAGCTGCTGCATTTCACAGACCGCAGGGACAATGCTCGGACAAGCTAAACAAAATGAACTGCGAGGTCAGTCGCGCTAGCACTTGAAGATGCCAATCAAATGAGAGTCTAAACTCCTTAAAGGGGGGTTATATAGGGGATTATATGGGGGAGTATTATAGGGGTTATTAAGGGGGATACTAGGGGTTTAGACTATAGATCACATGGTACTCGATATGCATCTGGCCTCTGATGTTATAGGCAACTCCTTGCTACGGGCGTGCAGCACTTTGTGCTAACTTTTCTTGATGCATGCTAATTAGCATGCGATATGGAAATGGCCAAGTAGCCATCAGATTGACCCTCAACCCCCAAAATAGTTTACATTTTATTTTTCATTATCCCGTTATATCCCCCATATACCCCTATATAACCCCTGTACATTGAAGTTTGAAGCGCTGTCAGGACGCCAACAAGCCGATGCACCATCGCAAAGAGCGTCGAGTCTGCGAAGATATGGGCACAGACCAAGTTTCACTTGGGCTTAGAAAAAAGAGAGGGGGCTCCAAGGGGTCCTGTAGGGGTTATATGGGGTTCTCTACAGTAGGAGTTATGTAGGGTTTGGGGCTTGTATTACCCTATTTGTGGAGAATCAAATGGAAAAGAAAATGAAAAATGAAACTGAAACTGTGGTTATAGTTGTTTGTATTGATTGGAGACTGAGTCCGCAGGAGAGAGAGAGAGAGAGAGAGAGAGAGAAGGGGGTCCCCCAAAATCAGGGGTACCTTTGTTTGGGGGTCCCCATAAAAGCCTATGGTATCTTTGGGTTTGTATTGGGGTCTCCCTATGTTAGGAAGCTGTCTATATGGCTGAAATCCTGACCTCCATGGTAGCTTTGAGCCCAAAAATCTGCCACACATTCCGTCCTCAGTTTATAGTCCCCTTGAGTAGGTCGAATGTGGCTTAGGGTATTATATTAGAATGAGATCCCCATGATTATACCCCATATTCTATCTACTTAAGGGGGACTAGAGGGTTTGCCACACAAACAAGTACCAAGAGGTCCCTGGCAAAACCCGGGCGACAGTTGACGTTCAGCCATGCAAGCATAAAATGCTTTCTTGCCGCGACATTGGCTCGGTACAGCTTAGCGGGCCATGAGTAAGCGAGTGCACATGATCCCCCGTCGCAATGTAGGCAACCTGCAAGCGTGCACCTAATTCGTCCCTGATACTTGCCAAGAAGCATGATCTGACATTCCCAACACCTCTTTATCAAACGGAGTTAGGCCCATGCATCCGAAAAGCCCCACTGCGTGACTTGGCCGAGATACAGCAGGACCGGGGCAGGTGTATGTGTATGATGCTTGGAAGACAGAACCGACCTGCGGCAAAAGGGTCGGCTGCGGAGTATGATTGGTCTAGATGAAAACCGAGCGCTTGCCTTTTGAGTTCGGGTTGATGAGCAAGGCAGTCCCCGACGTACTCGAAGGCTGCGTCCCTGCTTTGGTTGCAGGGTGCGAAAGATGCACAGCTGCAGGTGGACATGGCATCCCAGACTTCCAAAACGTATGAGCACTTGAAGTGCGATCAGGTTTTCAAACGGGTCGAATCCAGATCGCAGAATTCAAAAGCAGTGTATTCCAGAAGGGGGTACGGCTGATTAGCTTTTTGCATGGCTGCCATGGTTTCCAATATTTACGACAGATCACAGGGCATGAGGAAGTTCTCATAAACTTCCTTGCGTTGAGACCTGCATCCCTCAATTCCAGCTCAGGACTTGCCAGCCTGTGCCAGGGTGCTGCTCAGATGCAACTGCAGTCACCTTCATGGACACGTTCTTTGGATTGTGCTTCTGTTTTGGTTGGGGAATGCTGATACCGTGATACCCTCATCTTATTCACGGCTCGGCCAAGACCTAAGATCCCGCATTCGCGCTCGAAATTGTCAGCATTATGTGTGAGGGCGTGCATTGAGTTTACCCTGCGTACAGTAGCGCGCTTTGCCGTTGGGCATAGTTTTATACAATTTTCACGGATTGAAGCTGCGCTCGATCAAACTTGGACTGACAACGGACTACCATGCACCTGGCTGAGAAGCTCCTAAAGGACTTCCCAGAAGGGCCCCGTTTGGAGGCATTCCTGGCATCCGCAATATAGGGGCCTAAAGTAATTACCAACATTATGGTTCCATATTCCTTATATGATTATTATGGTCTATGGTACCTCAAAAGGACCTCAAAATTGTATTGGGAATTCTTTAGGCCGCTGTAGTAAGTGTCTCCAAGGCCTCTGGGGATGGAGGACCCTAGATTAGGAATCAGCATGTCTGCATGCAGTGGGCCTATTTTGCCCTTCTTCACCGTGTCCCCTAAACTCAAACCCTACACCCTGAACTTATAGGTTCTTAGTAGGGAATAAGGAAATAAACTGCTTAGGGCAAAGGGGTTTGATAGGGATTATCTTATTCACTGCTAAGAACCAGTAAGTTTATGTTGTGAGGAGAGGCCTAAACAGCGCAGCGCGAGCTGGATTGGGAACTTTCCAGGAGAAGAATCCTGGCGACGAGCCTTGGCCACGCATGAGTGCATTTCCACATGAGCTAGATTGAAAAACACTCAATGAAGGGGGTCTCTAAGGGGGGTTAGCAAGGGGCATACTAGGAGTTTCGACTGTATAGCTCACATCACATGGCTTGCGGTGGGATCCTGGTCTGGAGGTTGCAGGGTTGTGTACAAATGTATAGATGGGTGCCATGACCGTTTGGGGATTTCCGCACTTTTGGTACATGCGCATGTGGTCAGGGGGGCCGACCACTTCATGACTCGGTGATTACAAGAGCTGCAGCAGAGCGCAGAACAACACCGTTAATTGGATACGATATCCTGCCAGCCGACTCACATCGCTTGGGCGCAAGCTGCAATTCGCCAGAGTGGATGTGTTAGAAGGTTGTCTTCTGGAATCCTTGAGGAGTACTGTAGTAAGTCGCAGCGGTGACTTGCAAGTGGAGACAGAACCATGCATTTGTTTGTCGCGGTCTGTCCATGGTGGTGTGGAGCCAAAAAAGTGTTTTGTTTTTTTAAAGTTGATAAGCTGTGGCATCGTAGTGAAGGATGTTTGCCATGGAGGAGCCGCTGCGGTTCAAGCAAGTGCATCAAGACGCATTCCACGGCATCATGGCGACGTCACGGCGAGCAGATAAGAACCACTTCAGTGGCATTAAGACCGACAGCGCTGTCATGGACATGAAGTTTTCATCCAAGCACCGGCTCTCCGCGGAGTTGGAGTGGGCGGCACAAGAGGTTCGCGACAAGGGTTATGTGATCCTGAAGAATCTGCTCACGCGTGAGGAGGTGGCAGAGATAAGGGCAGCTGTCGAGCCTCTTCTCGGAGTGGGAGGGAGGAACAATTTCGAGGGCTTCAAGACCAGACGTGTGTATGCAGTGTTGTCCAAGACCCGAGCTTTGGACAGCATGATTGCGCACCCAGTAGTCATGGCACTGCTTCGGCAGTTCTTGATGCCCAACTTCTTGCTTACCGCTGCCCAAGTCATTGATATCTGCCCTGGAGAGACACCACAGCCATTCCATCATGACGATCAGTTCACC